ATACTGTCTGGATATTGGATAATGTTAAATAATTATAATTCATATTTTATTTTATTTTAAGACAGAATCTTGCTCTGTTGCCCAGGCTGGAGTGCAGTGGTTCGATATCAACTGACTGCAACCTCCACCTCTGGGGTTCAAGCAATTCTCGGCCTCAGCCTCCCGAGTAGCTGGGATTACAGGCACATGCTATCATGCCTGGTTAATTTTTGTATTTTTAGTAGAGATGGAACTTCGCTATGTTGGCAGGGCTGGTCTTGAACTCCTGACCTCAGGTGATCCACCAGCCTCAGCATCCCCAACTGCTGGAATCACAGGCGTCCCCAGCTGTCACATTTTAGGTGTAATATTTTGATTGCGTTTAAAAATATAATCCTTATATTTTAGAGATACATGCAGAAATGTTTATGGATAAAATGATATGATATTGGGAATCTGCTTCAAAATAATCCAGAGTGGATAGTGATATTGATGAAACAAGTGTTTAATGAATTGATAATTGTTGAAGCTAGTGAGCCTGAAGTGAGGCGTTTGCTACTCCTCTCTCTCCATTGTTATGTATGTTTGAAATCTTCCATAACGATTTTAAAAATAGTTCTGTAAATATGCTGAGAGGAAGTAGTTCCAAAGATCTGATAAGGCAAGAGGAATGAAGGAAAAGGTTAGCGTCCGAGGGAGAATAAGCTAATCCCATTTTCTCCTGCAATTTAGTAGCATGATGGACCGGCTCTGGGAGCAGCAGCTGAGTCAGTCATGTGCTGGGAATCCAGAACAACAGAAACAACTTGGTTCTTCTCATAAAGCAATTATCACGCCCACTGCCACCACATTCAGAGAGCCAGAAGCAGTGAGGGTTACAACACGACATTTGTGTGGTACTCTGCAGTTTACAGAATGTCTTACATCTTTCAGTTAATCTTCAATCACAGCCTTATGAGGGAGAGGATATTATCTTCACTCAAGAGACCAGGAATCTGGAACTCTGACCTTTGACTTGACCAGAGCATATGTGACAGAAGTGGGGTTCAGACTCTGTCTTCAACACCGTTGTGCATTGCTGTTTTTTCCCTATTACTGGCTGTAGAGCGGCTGAAGCAAGCACTTGCGTCTTTTACATGTGTTTGTATTTCAGAGCAGGACAGTGATATCTATTCACGCTGTAGACTTCTGTTTGGATGGACATCATTTTTTTTTTTTTTAATTTAAGATGGGGTTTAACCATGATGGCCAGGCTGGTTTTGAACTCCTGACCTCAAAAATAAGAAAAAAAAGCTGGGCTCATTGGCTCATGCCTGTAATCCAAGCACTTTGGGAGGCTGAGGCAGGTGGATCACCTGAAGTCAGAAGTTTGAGACCAGCCTGGCCAACATGGTGAAACCCCATCTCTACTAAAAATACGAAAAAATTAGCCAGATGTGGTGGTGGGTACCTGTAATACCAGCTACTCTGGAAGCTAAGGCAGGAGAATTGCTATAACCCAGGAGATGGAGGTTGCAGTGAGCCAAGATCATGCCATTACGCTCCAGCCTGGGCAACAAGAATGAAACTCCCTCTCAAGAAAAGGGAAGGGAAGGGATGGAAAGGGAAGAGAAGGGAGGGGAGGGGTGAGAAGGGGAAGGGAGGGGAGGAGAGACCTGTTAGTGGTGAGTGCATTGGACAGGAACATTACGCTAAATTAGAGGTCAGGATAGGGGAAAATAGCTGAATAACAGGCCCCTACCATACTCTAGGCACTGTGCTGAAAGTTATAGTCAAATATTGAGATGAGAGTCAGAGCTGGAAGGGGGAAGAAATTAGTTTCTCTGTCACTTTTTTTTTAACCTTGAGAGTAAAATGCATAGTACCTGTTCAATTGTAATCATGTTTAAAAAGAGTTTAAAGAATAAAAAAGAATTGGCAAGAGGGCAGGAGGATTAGGTCAAACTTTGCACCCCAAATCAAGCTAAGGTCCCAAGTAATGTCTCAGACTATGAAGATGGTTCTGCAACTGTGTTAAAAGGGATAAAACCCATAGACTGATGTTGAAAGCCTCTGGTTTATATAGATAAATATATTGAGAAAATAGGAAAGTACTGGCCAGGCACGGTGGCTGACACCTGTAATCCCAGCACTTCAGGAGGCCGAGGCAAGCAGATCACAAGGTCAGGAGATTGAGAGCATCCTCGCTAACATGGTGAAACCCTGTCTCTACTAAAAATACAAACAATTAGCTGGACGTGGTGGTACAAGTCTGTAGTCCCAGCTACTCAGGAGGCTGAGGCTGGAGAATCACTTCAATCCAGGAGGCAGAGGTTGCAGTGAGCTGAGATCGCACCACTGTACTCCAGCATGGGCAACAGAGCAAGACTTCATATTAAAAAAAAAAAAGAAAGAAAGAAAGAAAAGAAAATCAGAAAGTATTGATTCACATTATCCCTAGACAGCTTTTCTAAGAAATGAGTCAGTCAAATCATTCCTCAAATGACCTTTTAATTCTAAGGAGGCAGGCAGGGGAAGCTATTTCTCGTTAAATGCGTCATGCTTGTTCTAACTTGTATGTTCATATTGTGTCAAATTTGTGATACGATACGCTTATATGTATATTATAGAGTATGTTGCAGTTTCCTTGTGTAATACAGGTTTCAAATATGGGCACATTTTAAAATTGTTTCATGACTGAGACAGTGTAACAAGGTGTGTACTTTTGGAGAAGTTCCACACAGTCTTCTGGATGTTACTTCCATCATCAGTAAAAAGGAGGGGCTGTATGAGCCAATCTCACAAAATCTGAATCATGGAACATCGTTTTCCTGTTTTACGTGATTATGAGACTTACTGTTGTATCTCTCTCTTTTTTTTTTTTTTTACAAGATTTTATTGATTATGTCTTGGATTCGTAGGAAGCCAACATGAGGTCTTGGAACAGAGCTCGCAATTACATTATTCCTAAGGGAAAATAGGATCCACTTTATAGTGTGGTGTTTAAGAACACAGTATGACAAAAATCAAGGTGGCCAATAATAATGTTTGCTTCATTAATAAAACTTCAAGCATTTATTTTGCCCTTCTTGTACACAGTCTGAAATGGCTCTCTCAATCTGTAAAATGAGAATAATAATAGCAACTGATTGCTGGGGTTATTCGGAGTAAGGCTTTATTCAGTTAATACATAGAAAGCATTAACAAAAGTGCCTAGCTCAGAGTAAGTGCTGGGTAAGTGTTGGCTGGGGCTGTTGGTATTGTTATTTTTGCCATTATTGTTACTGATCCTCATAGCCACCTATAATGTTGGTCATAGGGTCCTTCCCATTCTATGCATGAGTGTCTAGTGTGGAAGTTATAGAGCTAGAGCTGAAATGGAAAGTCCAGTTTCAGGCACTGAGTCATGAAGCATACTGTGACCCATGCTGCAGACCCTTCTATAAAGTGGTAATTCAGTATTTTAGATCTAACTTTTACTTTTCTTGACACTAACTTGCCTAGACAATTCTATGTGCTAATATGGAAAATCTCAACTGTATCATTAAGTTTTTTTTTTTTAAGTGCCAAATAACACATCATGGGTATCCTTAAATCCCAGTTATGTTGTTTTTAAGAGATTAGTCATATGCTTTATATAGCTAAACATTTCTGAACCATATACATAAGAAATTGCTAACACTGGTTACCTCTGGGGAATGGGACTGATGGTTAAGAATAATAGAGAACTTTTTACTTTTTATTTTATGCCTTTATATACTGTTTGAGATTTTTTATAAGTTCAAAAAAAAAAAAAAAGGAAGAAAGAACAACAACACATCTCTATAATACTGTTTCCAAAACTCAGAAGATCCCTTCCCTCTTTGGGGGCTGTAGGTCCTGAGCTTAAGGAGTCACGGTGTATATTAGCATACGAAAGGCTGTGAGAAGCTACAGTAAAGAACCTATATAGTACATTTTCCACTTTTACTGTACTTATTTAAAAACCCACAGAATTATATTTCATGGTATATCAGTTTTGGAAACGTTATAAAAATTTGAGAAAAGATACCTAGACTTAGGTCAGCTGCAAGTGGAAGAAAGGCAAGTGTTGGAGGGGTGACAGGCATGGTTGGCTGTATGGTGGGAGGATACCAGGTCTTGGGTTCAGGCAAACCTGGGTCCAAATCCTGGGTCTCCCATTTACTGGCTGGCCCAGCATGAGCCAAGTTCCCCAACCTCTGGGTCTCAGTGTGCTCACATGTGAAAGAGGAATAGCCTTCCTCATAAGTACATTTTCAGTATTAATTGATGCAAGTACCTGTTCTCTCCTCCTCCGTTCCACCTCCCTAGGCTGTACGACTGCCATGCCTTTGTTTATGAACACCCATGCTTCATCCCAAACTGAAAAATTACCCGTCTGTGAAAGCCTTCGTGTCAGGATTAATCAGAGGCCAGGTGATCAAATAACAAGTTTTTCCATTTACAATGTGAATCCATTTCTAAAATCTTGATTTATAGATACCTACTTCAAGAATGTGCCTCTTGGACAAGGCTGAGTCCATAGGCGCTAGGAGACTGTTGAGAATCCTGTTTCTCTAAAATTCAGTCTAAAAGTTAAACTCTAGAGACTCATTGTTTAAATCACATCCAAGTTTGCTTGCCCCAGGCTCTTCCAGATCCCTGCCCTAGAGTAACCCTTCACTCTCATTTCCTATGCCAGTGTTAACACTCTAACACAGTGGAAACAAATTTCAGGGTGAAATGCAAAAGGATGTGTGCTGAAGCATTGCCTTTTTGAAGTAACCTTTGCATTAAGCCCTTAGAATCTAATTACTCAAGTGTTATTTGCCTCCCTAAGTACCCATGCCCATGCAGACTGAGCTTTTAAAGTTCAGGAAGTAATAACAAAAGAAATCTGAAGGGAGATCTCAGGCTCAGCCTCTGAAGACTCTCCTGTCAGCGCCTGGCCTCTCCCTCCTCCTGGGTGTGTCTGCCCGCCAGAGAAGGCCAGTGAGTAACCTGCACATTTTTTTTTTTTCATCTTGGCCCTTCCCACCCAGACAAGAGGACCGAGTGGCAGACAGGCAGGCAGACGGCAGTGAGTCCTGTTCAAGCATGCTCGGAGCATACCTCCACCCGCACCCACCGCCTGGACCCCTCGCCACCCTCTCCCCAGCCCAGGAGGAGCCAGAACCCCTGCGAGGGTCCGGAGGGCGCCTCCGCTCCCAATGGTAAGGGCTGCCAGCAGCAGGACCACTTCATTCATTTTATTTGCTTTGGTGTTGGCTTTTCTTTCTGATTGCGTTGAGATGGCAGAGTTTCTGAGACAATTAAAGGTGTTTTGTTTGGTTTGTTCTCAGTGGTCCCAAGACAAAGAAATGTCTTTTCGCAGCAGGGTTTATTAGAAGTTGTAACCTGATAGCATGGCCTTGGAAGAAAACTTAACTAATTACCTCTAGTTAGTACAACTTAACACTTTTGGCACTGTAGAAAAATAAAACAAAACAAAAAACTACTTTGCTTACCAAATAGGTTTTGAGGAAGAAAAAGTGTGAAGGATTGTGGGCATTTTAATGGATAAGCACCTCTGACTAATTGAAATGTGGCTTAAGTGTCACCATAGCTTTGTAATAGACCAAGATGATATGTTATCTCACAACAAAACAGAGGAGCTTTATTTAAAGGAGTTCAGTGTTGAACGAAAGATGCAAGGTGGGGTTTGAGGAAAAGAGTTACAAGGTAAGTCCAATTAAATCTTTGTGAACATGAAGGTATTGAATGAAATCTGTGGTGCTGTGGGAAAAAAAAGTCTGATGTTCCATGTGGAATTTGTGTCGCATTTAAGAGAGAAAACTGAGATCTTTGTATAGTGTGTTGAGAATTCTTTGAGAGAATGGTCTGGAGGCAAATGGTGGAGGCTGGGAAGCAGGTTTTGTGCAGGGAGCTGGTGCCAAGGCCCTCTCCCTCAGTTGCTGTGGGTGAGAAAGTAATTCAGAGTAATCAAGCATTGCATTGTTAACAGGCTTCTGTGTCTCGAATATTTATTCTAAACACAAGCTGTTGGTTCACCGACATGTGAAGGAATAAAGTTACTGCCTCTGGTTCCTGCCCTAGCCCAAATTTTAGTGCCTGGGAAGAGATTAATAAAAATATAGGAAAGACAAGGCTACATGGAAAGCGAATTTGAGGAATTACATTGCGTTTATATCAGAGTGCGAGGATGCTGAGCTAAAGGGTTTTATAGGAGAGCAGTATGCGAAACTGCAGTAGAAACTGTGCAAACCAGAGGCACTGCCATGACACCTGTGTGCCAAGTGACTCTGAAGATGCAGCTCAGGTTTGGTTTCGGCAACTCTATGCAGGCAGCTTAAGGATGCCCTGTACGGAGCAGCCTGTGCTTAACATGTCTAGGTTTCTAGAACTGCAGTGAATCACCCTAAAACACAGTGTACCAAGATGGCACATCTGAACTTTCTGGCATATAGGAAGCCTATGAAGTTAGCTGTGAGTGAGGGGATGTGTGGGGAGGGTTACAGGTAGGGTGCAAATACCTTTCTCAGAGTGAATGCCCCTCTTCTAAGTTTCAGGAAAGTGCAGTATGTCTTTTGCTGGAGGTAAATCAGCAATACTTCATCGTTGCCATGCCCAGTGTTCCTGTGGTGATAATGCCAGTAGTTTGCTTTTTTGTGGCTCTAGTTTCCCCTTGGCTGATTAATCGAAAGCATAGATTGCTTGCAGCCCCATCAGCCAGCTCATTAAAGGACAATCCCAGAATGCCACTTACTTGCAGGCCAAATAAGCAAGAAGTGGAGGTGGGAACCGTGATGATGATTTTGCCTCATGATTGCTGGTTCACATTTGTGACTTTTCAGTTATGATTAAAAGACTAATGGAAGTCACTCAAAGCTGCCTGTGCACTTAACAGCATTGATAGCCATCCTGACTCTCATAGGTATTTGTACATTGGTTGCTACACATTATAGTACAGAAACATTACCACCCCAAACGTGCTTCTCTCCCAGAATCAGTGCGCAGGAATAGAGTACAGTTTAGAAGACTATTGGCAACGTTTCCTCCATGTAGTGCCAGCCCCCTATTAACTTCGGTAGAGATGGCACCAAGGTCAAGAGGTGGAAGAAGAGAAGTAGGGCCAGCAAACATGACAGGTTTTTTTAGGGGAAACTTATGTAGAGGGATGGTCCACTGGCAGCAAGATGAACAGGAAAACCACCACCACTTATAAAAAGCAAAAGCATGCAGTTTATATAGCATTTTCACTTACCACACTCCCCAAACCTCCACCCGGCCACCTTCATTTAACCCAAACCAAAGGGCCTTGATCCCTGGTATGGCCAGGTTCCATGGGATGGGATGGGGGCTTCAGATGTTCCTCATGGTTAAGAAATGGATCTCAGGGATGGCTGCTCCCAGAATCCTTAGCTTAGAACTCTGAACACATTCAAGTGCATCTGCCATACACTCCCATCCATGGCCTCTTGGGTGTGTTTTTAGAACTTCCTGGGGTTTGTTTCTGTAGCAAAGTGAATGCAACACCTGCTTGAATTTGGCTTTTCTAAGGAAACTTCATGGTGAATTTAGCATTTCTTTTTATTTCATTGTGGTTTTCATCTACTCATGTTGCTTAGTCCTTTAATCAGTGACTGCATCAAGCAGATTGAAAACTGGATATATAAATAGATATCGGACTATGGACTTGAGACAGCCTTGTCTTTGAGCAGCATGCACTTTCTCCTTATCAGTTGCTGAATCACCTCCAGAAAGCCTTCAGACACTACCTAGCTGTGGCCACCACTTTACCATCCTGTGTTTGAATTCTTCTTCTTCTTTTAACTAAAAAGAAAAAAAAAAATTAGAAATAGGCTCTCACTTTGTCGCCCAGGCTGATCTTAAATTCCTGGGCTCAAGTGATCCTTCTGCCTTGACCTCCCAAAGTGCTGCGATTATAGGCATGAGCCACCAGGCCTGGCCCACACGTAAACATTTAAAGAATTTTAATGGAGCTATCCAAAAGATATGGTGATTTTTCTGAAAAATAGAAAGCAGCACCTTAACTGTAGCAATGCTAGGATAACTGCTGCTACATCCTAGACAGACTGCATGCCTCTTGGAGCTTGGATCAGGGAAAATAGTTGTGGATTCAGGCCCTGAAGTATTAGTGCATTTTCAAAGTGGTCACAGTCTGGCGAGGGTGAGTAAAGAAGAGAGGTAGAATGCAGAGGGCCTAGGAAACAGCTGGTGGCTAAAATCTAATTAGCAACGGCCTATAGTTGTCAAGGAGCTCCAGTTTCCTGCTCTTCTTTTTATGCTTCGGTGCTCCTCAAGGTAATGCTCTGGGTCCTTTGGAGGGTGTGGCCCTGATGATCATTGTCACATTTCATCTGTAGGCACATCCTAAACCAGGAGGAGATATCACAGAGACTTGTCCTGAACACATCCTCATAAGAGTGGCATGTCATCCAAACCTCTTAACCCCAAAAGGGGGCGGGTGCAGTGGCTCATGCCTGTAATCCCAGCACTTTGGGAGGCTGAGGCGGGTGGATCACAAGGTCTAGAGATTGAGACCATCCTGGCCAACATGGTGAAACCCCATCTCTACTAAAAAATACAAAAATTAGCTGGGTATGGTGGTGCGTGCCTGTAATCCCAGCTACTTGGGAGGCTGAGGCAGGAGCATTGCTTGAACCCGGGAGACGGAGGTTGCGGTGAGCCGTGCTCATGCCACTGCACTCCAGCCTGGCGCCTGGTGACAGAACAAGACTCTGTCTCAAAAAAAAAAAAAAAAAAAAAAAAAAAAAAAAAAAAGAACCCCAAAGGATACAAAATAGTGCTGAGAGTAGATAGATCTTGAGGATTAAGTAAGGTGTGTGTGTGTGCAGACAGGAGTAGAACTAATGAATATTAGATGAAGCTTTGACCTGTGAACTTGGTAACATTTTGAGATGAGAGTGAAAACTTCAGCCCTCACTTAGAAATCACATTTGGCCAGAAGGGGTCTCACCTCCACTCCCAGGGTGTTAAGCTGTGTAATGGATTAATGTTTAAAATGGTCATAATTATTCTTCTCTTTAAATCTGTTTCCTTGAGACAAGACTTTGCAGCTTTCTTATCAAGGAGTGGAGTCTCTTTTCCCAGCCACTGAATGTGGGCTTGGCCTTATTACTTACTTTGGCCAACAGAATTCAAATAGAAGTGAAGGTGTCCAGGTATGTTGGTTCCAAGCCTAGGTCCCAAGTCCAGGTCTTAAGAGGTTCACTCACACACTTCTTTCCCTCCAAGAATCCAGCATCTCTTAGACTGTAGACAGACATTCATGGGCTTGCTTGCTGTGGCACGCAGACCCCATCACCCCAGGTGACAATGACTTTACACTGGACATGTGAGTGAGGCAATCCTAGACCAGCTGGCTCACCTCAGACACTTGAGTGAGCCCAGCAGAGCTCAGACAAATCCATCCAGATCCATAGACTCATAAGCAGTAATAAATGCTTATTGTTTTAAGCTACTGAGTTTTTGAATGGTTTGTTATACTAACATAGCTGACTGTTACATGTAGTTCTCTGGACATGGTCCCCTTTTGGGATCTATTAATGTCATTATAGATCCTTAGTTCAACTCAGTAGAAGAGATTCTATCATTGGATGGAGGAGTTCTATTAAATGGGGGTGTTGGGTCCTCAATTCTTATGATTGTCAGAATTACTCTGAGACATTTTAAACACAGATGCCTAGGACTTGTACTAGAGTATTCAATCAGATATCTGTAGATGAAGATTCAGAACCTGTGATTTTTAAAGCTCTGGTTATTGGCCAGATTAAAACCCAGTAATTCAATAGTCTTGTCAATCCCTCCATTACTGAAAGATGCATTGATTCCAGTTCATCTCTACTTAAGCAGATAACACTCAGTTCATTACTGACTTGATATACTTCTAGCTGCAAAAGTAAACTTTATGATCACCTTTGGCCAAAAGCAAACTAACCGAGATGCTTGATAGGAAGAATCCACAGTTGCAGATTGATGGCTAGAGTTCTATATTGTTTACTATTGTATCTCCCTGGGGTTTAGAACCTGATGTGGAGTCATGAATAAATCCTGGACACTGGGAATGTAATAGGACCTTGCTCTGAAGATCTTAGAGCCTAATAAAAAAAAATCAGGTATCAGTTATTTATCATGTATTAAGAAAACAAAGCAAACAATATTTTAACCA